TGTTGCTTACTTGGCTGATAGGAGTTTACATTGAGTCGGGGCCGAGCACATCTCTTCTTATCCGTACTTCAACTCGCTAATGGAAATCTGATTCAGCCCTGGTTGTTTGAGACGAGGAAACTGAGGAATTCCCTTCTTAAAAACATTGAGCTGATTTGGGAAGATGAAACTGTGTGTCTGTACATACACAGTCTGTGGTGTGTGTCTGTGTGTGTGTGCTGGAGGGGAGTCTGTCTGCTCTGTTTACTGTGGTACCACAGATTGTTTGGGTGGGAGAGGTGTATTCCTTCTCAAGACAAACAAATGGTGATTTCAGAGAAAACCACAAACAAAGGGGACTTAATGTTATAAGTCTGTTATGGGGGACAAGGACTGTCTCGTCTCTGGGCAGATTTTGCTGTGGTAGATATTATCTAAAGGTTCCCAGTGGAATTTCTGGCCTCTAGTAGCGCTGTGGAGTTGTTTTTCTATGAGTGGATTCCCATTTTATCTATTACGTGTAAAGTTTCGCCAACTGGCATGTTTACCGTTTCAAGCTTTCGGTGTCCCTTTAAGACTTTTGTCAGGAGCTGGTAGAGGCGTACTAAATACAGACAGTCCTCCCCAACACAACGGCCACATAGGTCGTCTGTGCGAAGTGTTTATTACGAAACATATTTAAGTTTGTCGTAAGTTGTAGCCCTCTAGTGGCCATAGTAATTAAGACAGGAGCAAAAGAGGATATCAGGTGAAGTAGTATAAAGAAGAACAGAGTCCATGTGACGAGGTCGGACTGGATGGATGAGTCAAACAAACATAGGACTCCGACTCAGGAGGAATAAATAAGTAAATAAGGTAACTTACATACAAAAGTAAGCTAATATAACTTACTAAAGCTACGTCACATAGGTTACATGCTTAACTTACACACATACGTGACCTAAGTTACGTAACAATACACTTATTTTAACACAAACCATGATCGTTTTCTGAACCTAACTAAGTTTATTTATTTCTTTAAAATATAAGGAAATATCAGGTGTACCAGCTGATTGGTCAACTGGCGATGTTACAGGTCTGTGATATCACCACCAAAGAAGGTAATTCTGAGGTACTGGTCTGATGATTATAATTATGATATTCAGCACATAACTTTGCTAATTCTTGTGCTGAATCAGGTTTGTATACTACTATCTTGATATTTTCTAGAAATTCCAAAATGGCATTATTTTGGTTTGCCGTGTGGCCGCTCGCTCAGTAACGATAGACAGCATCCAGCTCAGCGTCAGTCCTCAGAGTCTCCCTCACACCGAACCACCGTAGGAGTCTACCATTCATTTGATGACTCGGCCAAAGGAAACACGTTTATGCGTCCTTCCCTCACCTTGAATGCACTTCTCTCCTCTTCTTTTCCAGGTCTGAGGTGCTCTTGATTAACATGGATCAGCCCTCCCTCTCTCAGTGAAAAAAAACATTTCAGCTGCAACTCCCTCAATTACATCAACTCTTTCCAGCATGGAGCCCATTAAAAACAAGCTTTGGTTGAGGGCGGGGGAGCCCACAGACGGAGAGGGAAACAGAGAGTTAATCAGTTTCACCTGTCAAAGTAAGAGCATGAACCACAGACCGGACACATGGCTCTGTTTATGAAACATTAAGCTACAATTTTAATTTTACATTACGGGTACTTATCCGTAGTTGGGGGGGGGTCGTGCGTTACTAAATGGCCCTGGTGATGTCACAGAGGTTTAGTAATTGTACTTCACACACACGACGGCCGACAATCAAAGACAGTGCTTTGGAAGATGGGAGGAGAACATCTGGCCACCTTTGAGAATCAAAACAAGTCCCGATCCCATGGAGGTGGGTCTGTGTGAGCCACTGGAGGGTGAGTTTGGAAATGTACGTTTTTATTAAAAAATGTGAGAAAGAAATGCTTTGGCTTAATACTGCAGAACTATGTTTTTTTGGTGGGGGTTGTTTAGCGTGTGGTTTTTAAGAAGAAGGGCTGCCCCCCTGTTAAGATGTCTTACTTGTTATTGAAATAGTACAATTGCGGGTTTAAGTTGTACACAAGCGGAGAACACAATGAACTCTAGCTTAGTTGTACTACTTTCAGTCGTAGAGGGTATTCAGAGCGTAAGTGGCACTGTCCTGAAAAACAAAGCAGAGCGTCCTCACCAAGAAAACGTCCGATAAGTCGTCTGTGTAAGCAGCTTATTACAACTCATATTTACATTTATTGTTAGGCGGCAACCTCTAGTGGCCAAAGTAAGAACTAAGGTGATGTAGAGCGTCAATCTTTGTCACAGAATGTAAGGTTTAGCAACAAAACCACGTAGTTAGGTTTACTAAAAGTGCGTGGTTGACGTTAACTTTACCGACTAACGTACACATGGCTACCGTCAGACTAGAGTCAAAAGTCGTTACTCATGTGACTCACCCAAATTGCTTGTGTCTGAGAGAAAAGCTACTAACAGCTTAATGCACTGCTGTCGGTGGGTTGCTGCAGTTGGTGGGTCAAAGAAAGCTAAAACAGCCTAAACATGACTGAAGCACATTAGAACAGCAACATTCATGTCACAAACATACAGTTAGGCCATAAGTGTTACATAAGAAGTGGACAGAGTCACCTTAATGTCACCCATCGGTTTGTGGACTGCTTTTTTAAAGCCTCCAGTTAAGTATTTTGGACTTTGCCATCTTAGGTTTTGGCTGTTGCCATTTTGGGTTTTTTTTGCAATCAGAAGTGAAGTGAGAGGGTGGAGCAAAGTTAAACAGAACGCTGAATAAGACATTTTTAGGCAACCAAATTGTTACAAGTAACTTTCATGAACTGAAAACACACTGTGTTAAGATAAGACAAAAACACGGACAACGATGTGGTAGAGACCTGTCAATCACTGTGTAGCCCCGCCCTAAAGCATACCCTGCTTTATGGTCTATTTGACTCTAAATGGACCATAATTTACTAAATGAACATCATGCTGTATTGAAGAAGACTTGAAACTAGAGATTGAGACCATAAACTCATGTTTACAATGTTTACTGAGGTAATAAATCAAGAGAGAAGTAGAGTCATTTTCTCAAAGACTTCTATACAACCAGAGGGGTCGCCCCCTGATGGACAGAAGAGAGAATGCAGGTTTAACACATGAAGCATCGGCTTCACTATTCTGTGTCTGTGTTGTTTGCAATGAAGGAATATGTATCCATTGAAACACTATGTCTCATTGATGTGTTTTCAGTAGTTCTTGGACAACGATGGAGGTCGATGGCACAGAGGAATAAGACACATCAGACTTTGATACACACATTCATTCATTCGTGGTTTTGGTCTTTTCATCGGATCATTGGGAGAAATTTGGGGTTGAGTATCTTGCCCAAGGACACGTCAACATGCGGACTGGAAGAGCGAGGGATGGAGTAGCCGATCTTCCAATCAGTGGATGACCCTCTATACCTCCTGAGCCACAGACAACGCAGGAAGTCTTTACAAGTATTTGGTATTGTAAATCAGGTCTATGGCTCGCTGTTCAGATGTTAAGAGTTTCAAACGACCAGTCAGGGATATAGTTCACTTCAAATCTGCCGTATGTTTAATTCTTATGGCCTGCAAACAGCTAAACCAGAGTCTGAGTTTTCCCACATGTAGTATTTGAAATTGCTGGTGGCTATTTAATTTCTGAAAGCTCCATGTGCTCAAATTGCTCTGTAAAGTGGCGTTCACACTGAACCCAGCCAGACTCTTTTGTGTAGTTGCCACTTTTCTGCAATCTTGCGGGCCAGGCTGTTATTGTTCAAAGTTCAGTGCGACAGATTGCACTTTCATGGTGGGAGGGCAACTCATAAATGGAGTAGACACACATGCACACACTGCAGAGACTGATTACGGCCCACACTTTGTTAGAATGGTAAAAGTGTGACTCGGGGGCAGAGCTACTGTTCTGAGTCAGCACCAGTCATGTCGTTGGGCCCTTCTGATGAATTGACCATAAAATGAATGAATTTACTGGAAGGAATACATCATATTAGAGATTACATATCAGGACCCTTCTGAAATACAAACAGAACACCAAGCGTTTGGTCTTTTCAACGTATTTCCCCGTTTCCGTCATTTCCCTTCCTTATCTACTGCAGTATCAATGCAAAATGCTGCTTATAATGTGTCAATCAATCAATTTTCCATCATCTAAAATTTGGAAATCTTTTGTTCTTTGCCCTTGCTTTAAAATCTGTTTATTCTAAGACAGACAAATCTAGAATATACCGTATGTGGGTCAAATGATAACTGGGCCTGGGTCAGGTCGCGATTTATTGCAGATAACTGTGATATTTAGAAAAATGAAATATTGAGCTTATGTTAATAATACACACAGCACTATAAATAATTTCATATACACAGTTATGGTGACAGAATCTCTCTCCACCTCCCAACACTCGTATTTTTCGTATAATTTGCACAAAAAAAAGATGAATTTGACTTTCTTTCCATTTTTCCATATACAGTATATATATATATATATATA